TATAGGGCAAATATTAATAGTGAAGCACAGACAGATGAGAAAGCAATACTAGTAAATTCTTCACTGTTATACTCTCAGCAATGAGGAGATCATCCGGACAGAAAGGACACATTGGCCCTGAACTATACACCTAAGACTAAACTGGACTTTTAAAAGGCAGGTTCAGAACATTCCATCCAACAGCCAGAATGAATATGCATTTCCCACATGCAAAGGCAGAACCTTTCTAAAACACAGCACATTTTAGGCAACACAAGTGTGAAAATTTTAATAAATTTCATTTATATCATGTTATTTTTTGACCAAAATGGTACAAAACTAGAAATCAATAAATGGATGAAAATTGAAATGTTCACAAATACCTGAAAATTTAAAAACATGATACTCAAAAGAATGAATTGAAAAATGTAAGATACTGAGTCAGATGAAAATAGAATCATAACTCATCGATATTCATGTGATCTGACTCCTTTGCCATCTTTCCTTCCTAGGAAAGACACCCCTGGTGAGCTAGGTAGAACCTGCTGACTGTTTGTCATCTTCTCTAAACTGGGACAAGGAGGAGAACCCATTGGTCACCATCTAGCCATAAATGCTACTATCTAAAAATCAAAGTTTTAAAAATCCCAAAGTGCATTTACACAACACTAACAACAATGTAAGACTACCTTAATAGGTTAAGTTTTTAAAAGTAATACACAAAGTTGTATTATATTTAAAGTAACAGTTTATATATAAATCTATTTATGATTTCCTTCTGTTTCTTAATATTTCATGAACTCTGAATTTTAATAAATTTATTTACTAGTGAAGATAAACTTTTCTCAATCAGGAGAACTAAAAATGGAAAAAAAAAGGTAATAAATTTTTTTCTAAATTTTATAAATTTATTTAAAAAAGATGTTCTATCAGGGCATGGTAGCACACGCCTGTAGTCCCAGCACCTGGGAGGCAGAGGCAAGCGGATCTCTGTGAGTTCAAGGCCAGCCTGGTCTACATAGTGAGTTCCAGGACAGCTCCGGCTACAGGGAGACGTGTCTCAAAAAGACCAAAAAAAAAAAAGGTGTTCTGGCCAGGTGTGATGATACACGCCTTTAGTCCCAGCATTCGGGAAGCAGAGGCAGGCAATCTCTGTGAGTTCGAAGCCAGCCTTGTCTCCATAGCGAATCTAGGCCAGCTGCAGCTACAGGGAGACCCTGTCTCAAAAAGACCCCCCCCAAAAGGATGTTCTGACACATGCTACATCTTGAATGGACCTCAAAGATATTACACTAAGGGGGCTGGAGAGATGAGTAAGAGCACTGACTGCTCTTATAGAAGACCCAGGTTCAGTTCCCAGAACCAACATGGTTGGTAACAACACTCTGTAACTCCAGTTCCAAGGGATTGGAAGTCCTCTTCTGTCTTCCGCAGGCATTGCACGACATGGGTGCATCTGCATACGTGCAGGAGTAATACTCATACACATAAAATAAAAATAAATAAATCAAAAAATTTTTTCAAGATATTACAGGTAGAGAAATAGGCTAGTCACAAAATAACAAAAACATAATGCTATTAATACGAAGTACTTAGTCAAATCCAGAGACATGCGGTGGTTGCCAAAGGCTGAGAGAAGTTGGAGTAAATGGGGAGTCATGTTTATCAGACATAGATGTTCAATTTGCAAGAAGGAAAAATATTTTTCAAGAAGGTGACAATGTTTGTACAATACTATAAATGCAGTTAACTTTGAAACATACATTTAGGAGAGTCAATAATAAATTTCATGTGATAGTGTTTTGTCACAATTTAAAACAAAGGCAAGTCTCATTAGTAAGCAAAGGATTTGAATAGATATTTCTCTAAATGCACAACAGCAAGATCACACATGAAAAGATAGCCATCATTTATTCATTATGAGAAAATGGAAATCAAGACTATCATGAACTAAGATTTTGTGCCCAATATGATGGTTAAAATTTATTTTTTAAAAACAGGAAAGGAAAATAGCACATTAGTGAGGATAAGGAGAAATTACAATTTCCTACACTGAGAGTAGCAATATATAAAATGGTAGTCTTTACTGAAAAATAACATGATAGTATTTTAAAAACAAAAACATAGAGCTAGTGTATGGCCCAGCAATACCACTCTTAGGTTTATATACAATAAAAACCCTGATAAGAACCATTCAAACAAAAACCCCATTATGCTTAGTGCAGCACTATTCATAGCCAAAAGTTTGAAAGAATGTTAATACCCACCAGTGAATAAACTGATAAAAACAGCAGGGTAAGAGCAGGATAACCTATCCCCATGGCAATAATTCTTAAGGAATCGAGACTCTTTGTGGTGTCTAAATTCCCACAGCTGTTTTTCTAGTTTTGCTATTCCTTCTGACTGCTTTTCCAAGTTCTCCCCCCTCCCCTGCACCGCCACCCCACTCAAGGACCCAGTCTTTGGTCTTCTCTTCCTCCACTGATTCCCTTGATCACACCAGTATCCTAGCTTTTCAGGTCATACATACTGAAAACTTCTACCTCAGTGCTCGTCCAGAACTTCCACCCTTTCCTCCCACTATCTACTCAGCATCTCCACTCTGACATCCAATTGGCAAATGAGACACAACAGACAATATCTCCATCTGTTCTGGTTGCAGGCAAGTTTAATGCCTTTCTTCTACATCTCACATCAAATTCACTAGGGATTTTTTTTACCCTACAAAATACATTGCCAAAATCTAGCCACTCTCTTACCACCCTGGTCTAACCCTCCATCATCTCTTACCCATATTACTACAGTAACCTTCCTACTCACTTTTCTATTGTACCTTTAGCTATTAAGTGTTTACTTTGAAAACAGTAGCCAAAATAGTCCTTTTAAAATATAAGTTACATTATGTCACTCCTTCACTCAAAACTCAGTGGTTCCCCTACTTAGAGAGCATGCCAAAGTTCTTACAATTTCCCACAAGGCTCAATGTTCTTTCATGCTACCTGGCCTCTCCAAACCTATACTCCTCCTCACCTACTCACTCAGGGTTTTTTGCTTTCTCTTAAAAACATAAATACTCTCATTTTGAAGACATTTATCATAGGTTTTCATTTTCTCTGAACATTGTTTTCTCAAAAAGTAGGGAAAACTGCTGTTGGTTACCCTCCAGAACTTAATGGCAAGACTCTACTGCTGAAGACACCATATACTGTATTTGCATAATAGGACATGAGGAAATCAACTGATATTGATCTGAAAGCTTAATCCCTACTGACTAGCTTTCATAATGTCAGAAGATGCTATGTGCAATATACTGAGGGCGGAAAGTAAGGCTAACAGTTTTACCTACCTCCCTGCAAGCTGAAAGAATGACCAGCCTGGTAAGACACACCTATTGGTGCAATAGTAGCAGAAATGTGTTAGAAGAAACCAACCACTTTGTGATGCTAAGAACTAGGCCAAGAAGCCCTAGCTGGGCAGGTCATAGACATTAGGGGAGAACTCACTACCATTATTTAGCTAAATAGACTTAGTGTTAAACTACATTCTAAATGTTTATCGTGATACCAACAGATCAGTACAGCTCTCAATCTTCATTAGAGAAGCTTCTTTTTGTAGTAAATGGTGATTAATATAGATGCTCATCGCTGGTCAAAGTGCCAAAAACAAGAGACTCTAAACTGCTCAGCCCTAAAAAGAATACCTATATCACACCCCTTCCTCACAAGGCCCAAAGATCATTGCAGAAGAGAGATCATAATTATTGTAAGAGCCAAAGGTAGTAGAGGACTTCTGTAAAACAGTGGTTTCCAATCATGAAAGGGACACTGCACACACACAAAATCACAGTGGATATTACAATGTGCACAAAACCTGCACAAGGGCCAGACAGTCAAAATTCCAGCGTGGGTGGGAAGGAAGTTGCAAAGACCCACATAGCTGAAGAGATATTAGAAATTGATTGCTGCTGGTGAAGGGAGAGTCAGTTTTCTTCAGATGCAACCTAATAGGCTACCCAGGTTCTAGGGAAGACCCTGTACTCATGTACATACTAGCAGCACAGAGTGGACCTGATAGGTTTAAATAATTGCACATGAATTCGAGAAAAGAAAGAGGGGAGAAAAAATTGGGAGGAGCTGAAGGCGAGGGAGTGGAGGGTGGATTTAATCAAAACATTATATTCATATATTATATTTGTGTGTGCGCATGTGCGTGTGTATGCTATATAGGTAATTCCACTGACAGAAAGATTTTAAAAATGTAAATAGATCAGTCCAATCTAGACATAAAGATTATAATAAAATTCTACTTCAAAAGGATATTTACAAGAAAAGTCTAAAATAGTTTTTAAAATAGGAAAAGAATAGCAGGGTAGAGAAGAGGGCCCAGGGGGACAAACTGTGAAGTCACAGCCAGCACTCAAAGTGCTCACTGTATGTGCTTCAGTTTCTAATGCCTAGCCTGCATGAAATCTCCTTTCATCCCTAAAGCAATCTAATGTGGAATCATCATAGTCTTTTACATATGAGGAAATGAGGGACTGAGAGGCTAATTACTCAATATTGTCCTTCATTGTTACAGTGACAGAATTGAAATTTTAGAGCAGGAGTGAGTCCAGATCCATTCTCTTAAACATTACACTGTGTTCTCAGTCTGTCCAAAAATAAATCCTACCTGATAGAAGGCATCTTTCTGTAGTATTTCTTATTTCAAAAGTCAATAATCTACTATCAAAAAAACTATCAGCAATTTTTAATAATGAGATTAGATATTTTTACTTTTCTGCATTTAATAAATTTATTGTAATAAATACACATTCATTTTGAAGTTAAAAAGTAGTATTTTTACATAAGCATATCACAGTATTTTTATGGCTCAAAGATTCTTAATTTATATTATCACTGAAAAGTATTAGCTAAATGGAAAAACACTTTTAGGTTTATATTTCCCAAAAGAGGCACCCACAATTTCTCATTTTTCTTTTCATTAGCAAAAATACATTAAAGTAAAATAAAGGCATTTACCTGTACATTGTCCTCCATTGGTTGGATCTCCATAATATCCGGGCATGCAATCCTGACACTGTTTTCCGGTGGTGAGATTCTTGCACTGTTCACAGACATTATTATTGATGCAAGTGCTATGTCCATTACATTGGCAAGCTAAAGAAAAGAAGAAAGCATCATAAACAACTAAATAACAACAGTAAGCAAACAGCTATCAGAACAGGATGCATTTTCAATCTGATCTGACAAAGTCCAAACAGCATTTTCCAATATTTTTTAATGTATTATACATTTGGCTCAAAGTATTGATGCAAGACAAAAAGTGAATCAAATAATCAGCTGATATTTGACCTCATTCTCTATAAAATATAGGAGTTAGAGACAACATGAAGCATAAAATTTATAGGCAAGTAGGGAATATTCTTAATACACTCAAAGATTCTTTAAAGATTCCTCTAACTGCTTTATCAATTAAACTGCATAAAGATTAGATAATACATCTTTGATAAAAGATGGTAACATATTAATACATCATAAACATATGTACACTTAACAAATAATAAATATGGAACATTATTTGGCAGCGGACCTTTATTACAAGAAAATAAGTTACTAGTAAAATAAAGTAGAACCAATTATATTGAATGTGAAGGACACGAAATCAAATTTAAAGTATGAGTTCATTTTTATTTCTTCAAAGATACAACCTACATATTGCATTAAGCATAGATATACTTAAATTCTATGTATTACATTAAACATAATGTATATTAATATGCTAATATAATATGTTCATTTTTATTTCTTTAAAGATAAAACCTACATATTGCATTAAGTATAAGTTATACTTAAATTCTATATATTGCATTAAACATAATGCATATTAATATGCTAATGTAATATATCTGAATCCAAAAATTTTAAATCAAAGTTCATATATGGGAACATGATCAGTTCTGATCTGAGGCAAAAAATGGTATGATGTGACTGAATTCTCCCATCTAACATACTTCTTATACAGATTGCTACTGAAATAACAAGGACATGTACCTGAAATAGCAGGTATTTGAGTATGGTAATAGCTACACAAACAAAAATAGTTTGGTAACTGCCTTCTCAAATACCATCATCATCACCCCTACAGACATTTATTTATTATATTAAGATAGCAGCTAGCTTTTAGATGAACACTCATTTCATCCAGAAAAGCCACTATTCAGGCAATGCCATCCGTGCTTCTTATACCTATGCTCATTGATCCATGAACATATTGCATGGGGTAGGGTGGGGTGGGGGGTTGTTGTCAGTACTAATGATAAAACCTAGGGCCTCACATATGCTAGATAAACACTATCACTGGCCTATATCGCCCAGCACTCTTTTCACTTTGTATTTTGAGGCAAGGCTCCACTAAGTTTCTCAGGCTGGCCTTGAACCTCTGGTCCTCCTGCCTGGGCTACAGAGTGACTTGACTATCAGCCCTGGCAAAAGAGCAAGACCATGTGCCACCAGCACTAGACTATATGAGTTTTTAAAGACTACAAATACATAGCCAGCTAAAGTAGCAAGTAGTACATATGACAAGTGGTTAATGAAAATGTGGTACATCTACTCAATGGAGTTCTACTCAGCAGTAAAAAAAAAAAAAAAGACGAAATTATGAAATTTGCAGGTAAATGGAAGGGACTAGAGAGTGTTAGATTAAGTGAAGTAACACAAACGCAGAAAAGCAAGTGACAAATGTTTTCCCTCATTTGTGGACTGCAGCTTCAATCCCTTACATGTGAGTATATAAGTTCTGAAGTAACACCAGGAGCCAGGTAAAGGCAAAGGATACATGGAGGTAAAGGAAAAGAAACAACCCTGAAAGGGAGATAGTAGGGAACAGATGCTACCTGAGGGAGGTGGAAAAACTGAGTAACTGGCAGGGGGGAGAGGAGGGAGGGACATGCAAGGGACCATGGTGTTGGGGAGGGAGGGAAGTCAGGAACAGAAAGATGGCGGGATATGGGAGGTATTTGGGGGAGAGTGGGAATAATGGGGGCATTGTGACTAGAAAGGAAGGGAGGAAAGAGGCTGGCTGGGAGAAAAAAAAGAGTAGAGATGAGTGACTCTCGGGAGACTGGGAAACCTAGAGGGAAAAGCGATATCCTAGAAACCCTATGAGAAAGCACAGAGTGTCTGAACATTAATGCATTTGTATACATAGGAGCTGCTTGGAAGGGAACATAGCATGAGATAGAAGAGACCGCCCTTAGAGCAAATAACATGCCATACAGAACTCATCAAAGAAACTTCTTTTTGCAACAGATGGAGGCTACCGCAGAGTTGCACATCTGGTCAGGCATAGAAAACATACAGCTGGGAGATGCCCAGTACTAGGTGACACACCTACAGTTGAATTCCTTCAACCAAGACTCATGGAACATAGCGGAATAAGGGGTAGAGAGAGAGCTAATGCACTCCTCAACTCTCACCAGTGAGGCTTCCATGTCCATCAGAGTGCATTACACACAGAAGGCCTCAACTGGTCAAATTCTGGAGAATGAGAGACTAGAGTGTAGGATGGGACTTCTATATGGAACCTCACCCACCCATGGCTCAGGGACCATTACAGAAGAGGAGGCAGAAAGACTGTAAGAGCCAGGGCTGGTTCATGAACATATGAGGTGAAGGCTTCCAGGCCAACGGAGTCTTGCTCATGTGCACCTTTGGCAGCAGTGGCATCCAATGCAGGATCCACATTAGTTAAATTAAACAAGAGCCGGGGGGGGGGGATATAGGTGGCGGGTCAGCACTAGATTGAGAACTGTAGTCGTCAGCTGTGGCTGCTCTCCTCCAGCTATGGCCGCTCTCCTGCTCTCTTAGTTCCTCCGATCAGTCGTCTGGTCCAGGCCCCAGGGCTGGTGAGGAGACTGTGTCAGCGGAGCCGCATTCAGACACAGGAAACCAGGTTCAGTGACACAGGTCTGCTTTATTGCAGGAAGGCACAAGCTTATATAGGGATAGTGGTCCAAACACAGCACAGCAAGTAGGATGCCTTATTAGCCTAACAGGTTTAGCGCCCTATCACAGTACAGCAAGTAGGATACCTTATTAGTATAACAGACTTAGCATAACAGACTTAATGTCCTATCACAGAATAGAGGGTAGGATGCCTCATTAGCACTGTCAATAAGACTTTCACCCTAGGCTCAAGCTTGTCTCCCACAGAGAACTATTTGAGACTGGTTGCTGCTGGGTGAGGGAGTGTATGACTTACATACAACCACTGGATGGGTTGACTATAGACTCCAATGGATGCATTTACACTGAAGGACATTTGGGTAGAAACACCTGAATGAGTAAGACTCAGCATGTATGACAGAGTACATAGGGTTCAGTGAGGGCGGCGGGGGGGGGTCATGGATAGGGGAGGGGTTTGGATATGAGTGGGAAATACTGTATGAAATTTTAAAATCTCAATAAAAATTTTTTTTTAAATCTACGATCAACCTATTTGTAGAACATGAATAAAACTAGAAAGAATCTATGTATACTATGTTGCCTACACTTTAAATCTACCCCCATATGGCTCTTTATTTACGGAAACCAAAACAGAAAAAAAAATCAAAATAAAACATAACATCAAATTCATAATCTGATATGCAAATAAACCACTAGTTTTGAAAATATGGGCTCTCTAAAGCAGATGTGCAGCAATAAAAAATATCTTCTTGACATTCTCAATAAATTCCAAACATATACACAGAAATTCAGGGCAAAAATTCACCCAAAACATTTTTCAATACATACCCTACCTCAAAAGAAAAGAAAACTGTAAGGCACTAAAAAATGAAAGATTTCAAAAAAAAAAAAAAAAAAAAAAAAAAAAAAAAGGAGGATGACCAGTGTTTTTTATGAGAGGAGACAAGGAAGAACTGGGATACATGAGTTCCAAAACCAAGCAGATTCAGGAAATTCACCTGTTGCCATTGTCAAGGAAGGAAGCTAAACTGAACATTTACAAAATGAAAACATCACCTACACCTCTACTAACATAGCAATTACTCAAACATATGATAAGCCCAAAGAAGCAGAATAGAACCTGAGACCCATTGAAGTATGTGTAAAAAAGGGGAACAGGTTGCTTGTAAAAATTCAAACACTATTCCAAGGAATATTTGTTGGTTGAAATTTACACTGTCTATATAATGAAGAAACTTAAAATCAAACAATAATGTAACATTCTCTGCAAAAAGTCTGACAGACCTCACAAAAGTAGCTTTAAATGCACTCTTGAAGTATTTCTTCATCTCATATCATATGAATATACCACAGAACAGGGATTATAAAACTTTATTTACTGTAAAGGAGTAGGCAGTAAATAGATTAGGATTTGCGAATCATATACTCTGTTTCATACCTATTCATCTCTGCCACTGTAGTGCAAAACCAACCAAATAGAACATTCAAATAACTGAAGTACATATACTTCAATCAAACTTTCTTTACAAAATTAGGTAGTAGACTAGATTTGGTTTCAGGTTTGATTTGCCAATCTCTGACAAAGAAGAAAAATCAGTAAAATCCCATCATGAAAAATTAGAATATACTATAAAGAATCAGGAAAAGTCAATAAAAATAATAAATATTACAAATGATACCTCAATAACTAAAACAAAGAACAAGTGAAATATATTAAATATATTCAAAATAAAACATCAAAAACATGCTTATGGAAATAAGGGAAAGTGTGATGACCATGTCTCATGAAAAAAAAAAAAACAAATTTAAAAGACACAGAAGTGTAGAAAACTAGGGAACACATTTAACTAATAAGATGCAGGATATATACGCTGAGAATTACAAAATAGCATTGAAAGAAATAATAAAATATATACTCACAGGTTAAAAGATAATATTAATAACCCATCTAAAAATTTGGTAACAGCAAAATCCAATGGATTTTTTTATATCGCTAAACAAACATATGTTAGAATACAATTCCAAAGGAGAATTACAAAAGACCCAGATAGCCAAAACAACCTTGAAAAAGAAAAACAACTTTTGAGGACTGATACTTCCCAATTTAAAAGCCTACTATAAGCATATAATAATCACACAATGTGGTACTGGTGTAAACATAAAATACAGATCAATGTAATAAAATGGAA